CCCCCCACGCGAGAAAGAGTCGCAGAGGCGCGAACTCGATCGATGGAGGCGTTACTTTTTCTTCGTCGCAGTTGGGATATTTTTCAGCCGAGCTCCTCTATTTTCTTCCCGGTTTCTTTATATCCGGGCAAGCGGGGAAAGTTCGAAACAGTGATAAATCGAAGACCGGAGGAATTTTTATGAAGCCGACGGCCGAATCGACTGGGGGAGGTCGCGGGGGATTGTTGATGGTGTTTCACTGTCTGTTGGTGGAATCAATTAGGGGAGAAGTGTTTTGTTACATCGCGGCTGAGATAGGCTTCTTTTTAATTTCGGAGAACAGAAATTATTCCTGTCTTTTATCTCGTGCGACATTGTTCCGATATTCGCGAAAAGATATTTCTAAATTTTAATTCTTTTTTCCTCTGTCAGTGAAATAATGACAATAAAAGGATCAAACAATGAATAGAAACGATGAATAGAATTAATTATTATTGCCATTTAACCCTTTTACTAGGCCGCGTTTCTCTAGGCGATTTGCCACTTAACTCACTAGCGCCACCACTGCCTATATCTACAACAAACGTTTATCAACGTAAATATCGCGTATATCCTTGAATTATTTTCCAACTTTACCGACATAATCTTACAATTTGAATAATATTCTAAGTCCCACAACGAAAATTAATCGCGGAAATTCTTTTCTCCACTGCCAGTGAAATAATGAATATAAAAGTATCAAACAATGAATAGAAACGATGAATAGAATTAATTATTACTGCCATTTAACTCTTTTACTAGGCCGCGTTTCTCTAGGCGATTTGCCACTTAACTCACTAGCGCCACCACGGTCTATATCTACAACAAACGTCTATTAACATAAATATCGCGTATATCTACGAATTACTTTCCAATTTTACCGACATAATCTTGCAATTTAACTAATATTCTGAGCCTCACAATGAAAATTAAGCACGAAAACATCGTAATAAAATTATGCAATGACGGGACAAAAGGATCGAGCAATGGATCGGTAAACAGGTTGATCTCCGCGAGAAAACGTCGCGGAAAAAAATAAATGGCTAGTTTTCTCATGCTGTTTAATCACCACAAGAATTCACAAGTAAATATAATTACAAGTCAGGTAACGTACATCGAGTTAACCAGAGACTGCCGTTGTGCGCCTCGTCGGAGGCAGAGATTCTCAAAGAGTACCAACGTTTCGACCGATAGAACACGATTCCGAAATAGAAATAAAAGAAACACGAGAAAATATACCTGTGTCTGGTAAAATTAAAATCCATGACAACGAAGTTGATCGTTCAAGATAACGTCCATCAGCAATCCACCTTCGATCTACCGATCTCGTTACAAAATTCCAATGAAAGGATCGCGAATGAAAGTGCGAAATGTTTCCCGGTCGCCCCGAGAGCCTTCGACATCCTCGTAATCGATGGAACACAATCATCCCCGCATGGAATCGAACAGAATCGTAATTAGCCCCGAATTTCCATCGCGATTTATTAGCATAATCGTCGGAGCGATCCCCAACAGCCAGTAACGGCGATAAAAATGGCAACTCGCGGTGCAAGTGCGTCGAAATCACGTCTAGCTTGTCAATTCTCATTAAATCAAGTATTCCACTGCTTCTTCACACGGTTTCAACAGCTTCGATGTATCTGACAAATCGAAACTTCCTTGGACGCGTAACCGATCGTCAAAGAAGAGGAATGAAATTATCGGAAAAATAAAAATGGCCGAAATATGAAGCGTTCGAACTACATTACCGACGGAGCGAGAGATCGTTACGGTTTGTAGTGAATTTTTCTAGCTTTTTTGTATTTTTTTTTTCTTCTTTTTTTCATTCTTTTTTTCCCCCTCGAGCGTTTGGAGGTTTTTGAAAGCGGCCATTTTTCTCGCGTCCACGGGCGGAAGACGGACAGGACAGGCTCTCGAGGAATTCGGGCGCAAGCCGATAAGCTCGAAACGTTCCAACGATAAAATACATATATTACAGGTATGTACGCGTATCGCGGTTTCGAGAGGAAAGCGACGTAACTCAGCAAACTATCGTAGCTTTTTCGGTGAATCGAGGCGACGTGACGATCGAACGGAGCGTTTGTCCGACGGATTTGCGATATATATTTCGCGGCATTCGAGACTTCCTCTTGGAAATGTTTCTGCCAAGCATTTTCTTATGGCCCTTTGATTTCAGCACATACGCTCGTAAATAGTCTCCAGTGTTGTATTTTATCGAATTTTCGATGTATTTTGGAATTAGAAATCTGCATTATCGACCGGGTTTAATCGTGTCTTTTGTTCTATTAATTTTGTAATTTAAGGTATTTTGCGAAGCGAGTAACGGGGATTTACGTCGAAGCGAATTTCTATTTTCAAATAAAAATTTGAAAAGGGAAGAGGAAGAAAAATATCGGGAAAAGGGTGGATAAAAGGAGGTATACTATAGTGATGGTGCATCTTACGGAAAATTGAGGTTCTGATAATTAAATCTGGGAATTATTAGAATTATTAAGACACGAATTGAATTGGGTTGTCAATTATTGAAAACAGAATGTCAATCGATTAAGTGTAATAAGGGATGATTGCAGTGATACGTAATTTTCCAATTTTTCTTTAAAAAATTGATCGTATACACTATACTCGTTTCAACAAAAATGATTCTCATGAATTTAAAAAATTTTTAATAAGATATTTAACAAAGGCAAGGGTCATATTATCGTAAAATAATATACATTCTAAATTATAGTACAAAGAAAATTCATCACTTTTATAAAAATAAATCGAAGATAGCTTATTATCTTCTTAACTTGGTGTCTAACCTCAAAATAAAATATATATTTTAAATTTCGGCAAATTAATAAAGATATGTAAAAATGTAAAATATTGTTAATGCATTAGTTTCCAAAATAATAATTTCTCATTGCAACTAAAAATCCAGCCCACGATGTTTTAAAAATTCCAAAAATTTGACAACAGTCGTTTTTGAAAAGAACCATGAATTGTATTCTTCTCTGCGGAATTTGATCATTATTATCCCTCTACTTGGTGTCCAATTTCAAAATGAAATATAAAATAAAAATTTCGGCAGTTATTCAAAATATATAGAAATATACAAAATTCATAATGCATTATTTTCCAAAATATTAATTTTTTATCACAGCTGAAATCCAGTCCACGGTGTATTAAAAAATCCAAAAACTTGACAAGGATCGTTTTTGAAAAGAACCATGAATTATATTCTTCTCTGCGTAATTCGATCATTATTATCCCTCTACTTGGTATCCAATTTCAAAATGAAATGTAAAATAAAAATTTCGGCAGTTACTCAAAATACAATTATTTTCCAAAATATTAATTTCTTATCACAGCTAAAATCCAGCCCACGATGCTCTAAAAATTCTAAAAATTTGACAAGAGTCGTTCCCAAAAAGAAGCTCGAATAATCCCGAAATATTCAAATGGAAGCCTTAATCTGTTCGAAGAACATATCCCCAGTAACCACATCCTCGGATAATCGATTGGTCGATCAGTTACCCAGGATCACACTGGTCGATCAGCGACAGAGACCCTAAGACCCAGCTTCCGCCATTTCTGTCAGCCTCGGAAACCCTGTGACCCGGTAGTCGGCATGTGGAGGCCACACCCGTTGCCAAAAAACCCTGGAAAAACGATGGCGAGATATCCCACTTCCCATTCAGAAGCCTCGAAGTCCAATTTCCTGAAGCTGTGTCACGGCAACCCCGAAAATCCGAAGTAAGTTCCTCTTGAAAGCCAATAGACCGGAAAACGCTTTCCCCGCGAATCCCCGACAGCCGCCCGCTCTACTGGCAGAATCTTTCAAACTCGAGTCACCTGGACACAAGGAGGGAGGATCCAGGAATCAGGAGAGACACGGCGTTACCCTCTAAGTCGGTGGCATCGATCGCTACGATTTCTGAGCGTCCTCGCTCTCCTTGTTCTGCGGCAGCATGTCCGCCAGCTCGAGCTGAAGGCTTCTCGGGATTTCGAGCTGAAATGCCTGTTGATCGTGCGTCAGACACTGCCTGATGGCCCTCAGAGACAGGTCGCGCAGAGTGTAAACCGGCAGAGTGATGTACACGTCCGTCCTTTCGTATTTCACAGGTGTCTCGCTGTGCTCAAGGCTGCGATTCTTGCCGAACCAAGGATCCGGGAAGAACACGTCCCTCTGGTTCGCCACGTACCTGCAAAACGTGCCCTCATCGTCCAGCCTGTGCTGCTTCTCGCACTCGAGGTCTGGTCAGACTCGAACCAGAGGTCGACTGCTGTAACGTCGAACGAAGAAAGAGTTCGGAGTCTGGGATCAGAGATCCTGGGGAAACTCTGATGGTTCCGAAGAGTTGGATCTTCCTACGGATTCGTCGAAGTGGTGAAAATTGGCCAAATCTAGTACAGAGATGGGGGAAGGTAGACCCTAAAAGACAGGAGTGACGAACTTGTGCGTTAGAGCTGCAGGCAAAGCTGGAGACTGCAAGTCTCCGTCGATAATTGATGCCACCCAGTTGCGACATCTGCTTATCTATGGGTCAATACACTAGAGTACGCATACATATAGGATTGGAATGAGTATGGTTCTGAAAGAATGTCAAGAGTGTTTGGGTTTAGAACGAAAGTGACCACGTGCACGAGGATTGACTGCAAAGAATATTTGTGATAGAGTCGAGTGAAGGTTCAGGGATACCTCCAGAGTGGTTGAAGTGCAAAGGGCATGATTGAGAAAGAAAGCTTGGGTATGAAAGAGGGCAGAACAGTGTGTGCAAGTCAGTCCAAGTTAGTCTAACAGTTCATTTTAAGACAGTCCATCAGTCAGTCTCGAAGAATCCAAGAGTCCAAGTCTGTTTTCAGTCTAAGAGTTGTCAGTAAAAGGCAGTGTGCAAGAAGTCCAAGTCAGTCTAACAGTTCAGTCTAAGTTAGTCAAAGACAGTGTGTTAAAGTCTAAAGTCAGTTTATAAGAGTCAGTTTAAGAAAGATCAGAAGAACGTGCTCATAGCGAATCTATCTCGTTTCATAGCCAGCCGCTGTCATTCTATTTATAAGCTTATTGTATTCTATTAAGAAGCCAACGATACTATCTTAAGTCAATCCCCACAAAAACGATCTCCTAGATACATTTTGTTATAGTGGATCATAGGTACACATTCTCAGACACGATCCACATGATCCCTAGTACTGTTAGTAAATTAAGCAAGATAGGCGAGCAGGCAAGCTACCAATTCGTCACTCCTGTTTTCTTCCGATACTAGAGAAAGTGAAATAAATATGACTACTGGAAGAACGAGTAAAGCTACCAGAAAATGTTCCAAAACACGCTGCTCATTCCCCATAGTCTTTGCAACCAACCAAAACCTGCACCAAGCTACTCATGCTGTTAGACCCTTAGCACCAATGATGACCAAAGATGAATATACCTAGAACCTTCGTAGGATTAAAATCTCTGTTCGGATGAGGATGAAACGCTCTTCTGGATCAACTCTCTCTCTTCGTTCGACGTCAATGCAGGATCATCCGGTGCCAGCTTCGAAAGTACCCTAACAATTCGACTAGCTCAGCAAGGAAACGGGACGGAGTGAAGCAACAAACCCCATTGGTCGAACGTAACGAAGGAAGGAAAAACTGAGCTGCTGGGGTTTCTGGGAGGATCCGAGGGACATCTAGAGGTCACGCAGAGTCCTCGAGGAGCGTCGAGGAGTCCTACCTGTCTCCGGTCTCCTGGTCAACGAAGACCCACGGGTGCTTGTCGAAGGTGTCGATAAGCCGGCAATCGTCAGGCGCTAGCACACCATAGCTGACAGCCTGGCCCTGGTAATCCATCCAGTAGAGGATCACGTTGTGCAGCGTCTTGTTGATGAACCTAACGAAGGACTTGTGCACGTTGTTGTACGAACGGAGCAGCGGCAGCCGCTGTTGCTGCTGATACCTCTCGCCCATTCTGCCGCCTTTCTTTAGCCCCTCCGACCCACTGAGGAACTCCGCTCCAAGAATACACGGCTCTCTTATCCACCTCGCCACCTTCTCCACCCCTCGAGCTACGGTTTCGCGACGACTGAAAGCAGAAAATCAAGCGGACCGGGTTTAATCGACGGCTGTCTGACAGACGGTACTCGAGGATCCGTTCGATGAAGACTCGCGTCTTATTTCGGACTTGGCTGACTTCTGTTTCATTGTTTATTCTCGTCGTGCTTCGTGGGTACCAGAAATATATGTTTCGGTGAGCGGAAATCGTCCATTTTTGGAGGTATCGTGGTGTTGGTGAGTGGACCGAGTGCCTGTCAGCACGATGGATGAGCGTTTGAAACGGTGCGATAGTGGATCGAGAGGATGTTTAGGCTGGAACATCAGTGGAGCGAGAAGAATGACTGAGTTCCTAGGAAGCACGTGGAATTTTTTGACACTTGGCAGTGTATATGAGTGCATGGTGTGCATGAACATAAAAAGATATGCCAAGGGATTCAAGAGTGTCAGAAAAGATCATAAGAGACGTTTGACAGTTACCAATTAAAATAAAATGCGAAATTTTTAATCTAAACTTTGGAAACGGTCATTTTGAGCATGTTAAGTTCAGTATTAGCATGTCAAAAATTTAGTATTAATCCTTTCACGAATACCGACACGAGAAATACTGTGCAAACAGTATTATCCACGTAGTAAAATTAGAAAAATCAGAAAATAAATCAACGATACGTATCGAATATTTACATCAGGCTTATTGGAGATATGGGCCGTGGTGGCGCTAGTGAGTTCAGCCGTTCGTTCGTGAAAGGGTCAATGTAACGAAAAATGCTTCAATTTCCGCTGATTAAATTACATAAAATATATTTCTGGTACCCATCAATTACTATAAAACACACAAGACACACAAAGTATGTCGAAAATTGTATATCTATGAAAACGAAGTTCAATTTCGGATTTGAAAGTGAATGAGCTCGAGGACGTGGAACAGGGACGTCTGATGTTTGATAATTTGTGTTGGATACATGGTCTAGGTATGCGAAATATGATCGATTGATTACGTGGAATTGGAGGTTAGATAATTCAGTGGAGATAACTGTAGAGAACGAAGAGATTCGCTGGAAAATTTGCTCGCGATGCATTTTTGTGCCAGCCGCCATCAACAAGGGAAGGAGAAAGGACACCAGTTCTCGGATCGATCGGACGTAAACAATTTCTCTGGGAAAATTGGCCGAGCCAACGGATATGATGGTCAACATATTATAAAAAACGTTGGAATATTTGTCCGCCGATTTTTTCACCCCCACCACTCGATCTATGTCTGTCTCGCTCACGTGTTTGGCGAGAGACTCCATTCCTTGATCAAACAGGGAAATATTTGGGGAAAAAGGTACACGCCGCATGAAATTTGATAAAACTATAACGTGTGGAAAAAAAAAAAAAAGGCAAAGGAGGAAACGCAAATTGAGTATCACGCTTCATCGATAGATGGCTTTTTGGATGGAGTATACGGTGCGACTTTTGCAGGAAAATTTGTTAACCTGTGGAATTTTTGTTAAGGGGATATCGTTCATTTGAAAATTTAATTAATTTCGATAATTAATTTCGATTGGTTAAAATGTAGAAAATTAGAAGGAAATTGGAAATGATAAAGATTAGAGAAGCTGGAAAAATAATTAGCCGAAATTCGATAGTTTGGAAGTTTAAAAATTCGAAAATTTGAATATTTAAAGACATAAAAGTTAAAGAATTCGAATATTTGAGAAATGGAAAATTAAAAGATTTGGGAACCAAATGATTTAGTAATTTGTGAGCTCGAAATTTCAAAAGATTGCAAACTTGAGAACTCGAAAATTACAAAATTTGAAAGCAGGAATATCTAAAAATTTGAGAACTTGAAAATCCGAAAATTTGAGGTCTCGGAACTTAAAAAATATGAGAGCTGGGAAATTTTTACATTTGAAAACTTGAAAATTCGCAAACTTGAGAACTCGAAACTTAAAAATTAAAAAATACGAGAACTTGAAAATTCGCAATTTGAAGAACTCGTAGCTTAATGAATTTAATAACCTAAAAATTACAAAATTCGAAAACTCAAAAGTTTGCAAATTTGAGAACTCGAAACTTAAAAATTAAAAAATTGGGGCACTCGAAAATTCGAAAATTTGAGAACTGGCAGTTTAAAGAAATTGCCAACTTAAAAATAAAAAAATTAGAAAATTCAGAAATTCTGAAATTCTTAAATCGAAAAATCCATAACTTCGACGATGAAAAACAGATCGAGAAACTACCATAACTTCAAAATGTTAACCATGATACGATGAAACGTGAATAAAGTAGCGGGAAGAACGAACCAAATATAAATCTACGAAAGTTCAAGAACCGTCTCGGGAGCCAGTTCCACTAATAACTCATTTAAATAATATCTGACATTAACTCGACGCGGAACGCGTTTATCTAGCCGAAGCAATCAATCATGGGATGGTAATCAAATAGCTGTACATTCCTTGACGGTCTCGTGCGTCACTGAGAAACGTCGAGACGAATGGAAGCGAACCCGTATTCCGTTCTATAAATGCACGGGTGAACTTATCCATTAAACAATAGCAGCGAAGAGTCCATTATTTGCATTAACACATTTCCGAGAAGACAGCTTATCAAGCTGACAAGTCAATTTAATTATCTCCCTCTATGTTGATCTAATTAATTCCAGCTTATATCAAAAGAATCGATATCCATTTTATTTATCGTCGCGGCAAAATCTACTAATTATACTAATCATATTAACTAAAACTATATTTCTCCCGTGACTACCTTTCATTATCACTTACTTGGAATTTCACGATAAAAATCACAGAAAGTGTTTACATTAAAATAAAAATAATTACAAATATTACAAATTTTACATAAATATATATTCCGTAAAATTAACTTATAAGTTAATAGAGTATAATTATACTGTCTCAGTTTTATTCCAACATTTTGGACACCCTGCATATCCAAGACGAAAAAATTCGCGCGATTTTAGGGAGCCGTAATTCCTAAGCTATATATTCCGTAAAATTAACTTATAAGTTAATAGAGTATAATTATACTGTCTCAGTTTTATTCCAACATTTTGGACACCCTGCATATCCAAGACGAAAAAATTCGCGCGATTTTAGGGAGCCGTAATTCCCAAGTAGTCTCCGCCATTTAATTTCCCGGCGTGTCTCTAAAATATCGGCAAAATCTACTAATTATACTAATCACATTAACCAAAACTATATCTTCCCCATGACTACTTTTAATTTTTACTTACTTCGAGTTTCACGAGGGAAATCACACAAATCGTTTACATTAAAATAAATATAATTACGAATATCTTAAATTTTATATAAATATATATTCCGTAAAATTAACTTATAAGTTAATAGAGTATAATTATACTGTCTTAGTTTTATTCCAACATTTTGGTCACCCTGCATATCCAAGACGAAAAAATTCGCGCAATTTTAGGGAGCCGTAATTCCCAAGTAGCCTCCGCCATTTAATTTCCCGGCGTGTCTCTAAAATATTAATTCGAATTCAAACGCGCGATTTCTTCGGCCCATAAAACCACAAACGGACAAAGAAGCGTGCTCGCAGCGGGCGCGGAACGGGATCCCGCTTTTTCAATTAAATTCCCGTGACAAAGGGGCCGGCGAGCAGGGCCGAAAAGCGGAAAATCGATGGCTCGCATATGCGCCCGTATTATCAAAACGGAAACGCGCGGCTTCGCGGGTGTCTAGCGTTTTCGGGTCTGCACTTTTCCCGCGAAGAGCCGTAATGGAGTTTCGGCGTTCCCCGGCGTTGTTTCGCTGTTTTATAAGCCGACGGGAGTACCGTCATGGCGGCCGCGTCTCCATCGTGGCCGATTTTACGCGAGACAAAACCGAAACCCGTTCGTGGCGAGCTTCTACGATTTCAGTTGTCCGCGCCGTTTAAATCCGATTCGAACTCTCGCGAATTTGAATTTCGCGGGCTTTTCGATACGCGGACGCTCCAGTTTCTGGTGCGAGGATTGCAGTTCGTGGTTGGCGGGATGGGCTGAACGAAAGGGAATGTTTAATTTTGTTAATTGCTGAAAGCTTCCGGAGCTTTTAAGGATTTATACCTTTTTCGTTTTTAGGGGATTTGGATTTTTGGCTCGTACAAAATTTTCGTTAATCTGCTATGGAAAGGTACAGCTCGAGCAAATTTTCGCGGCCATTTTAAGTCTCGAATTAATTGCCATAATTTATTTTTGGACTGATTCCGCCATTGGATACGGGAATCGTTAAATTTGTCAATCTACCGGGTGTAATGAAGAATTTTGGGAAGGAAAAATTACACGCTTTAATGGAAAATTTATACAGGTATTATCAACTACTATGATGAATTTAGAACAAATGATTATTTATTGCTAGTTATCAAATTAGGAAGATATATACGTAAATATATATAAAAATAAAAATATTCTATTTGAATAATAATAATAATAATAGTGATGATAGAAGTGAATGCTTTCTCGAAATTGTCAAAATTTAAAAACCCAGGAAATTCAGAAAATTTTCAAGTTTGGAAAAATTTTCGATTTTCTCGAAAGTCAAAGAAGTAAACGTATAAAATCAATGACATAGAAATTATTATCTAAACTTTCTAAAAAATCTGGTAAAAATAAATCAAAAAATAAATATATTAAATTGCAAAATATCCAACAATGAATTTTTCAAAACTTCCAAAATCCTGCCAAGTTTCAAATACCAAAATTAAATATTCTCCCTAACCCCAGGAGGATGCACGTGTACCTATAGAACGGTCGCAGAATAAACAGACAAATAGATTCAAATAAATACAGCGTGAAATGCACACGAAATTCCGCAGTTGCCAATGGAGGATTAAAAGGAAAAACCATGCCAAGCCCAACTGCAATAATCGATCCCCGCCCCCAAGACAAACTACACACGAACAGCATAATAATTCCGGCTTCAACAGGTCGTAAAACATTCCATTGGATCGGGAGAAATTTCACGCCCTCCGCTTTCATTAAAACTTTTCCCTCTGCCGGCAGCCGATGACCGATATAACAGCCAG